GTTGTCAGGTGGGTATTTTAACGGCAGTTTTTTATTATTTTAGGGTGTTATCTGGAAGATTCTCCTGCACATCTCCAGTGCCTGATTTAGAGTTCCGACAGCCTCAGTCTAACTATGAATGTGCCCCCTCCACCTACCGGCATGTTCTATCTGTGCCTTAGATTTTTATATTTTACTAGCTCTTCAACTCGCGGTTTCGCCCACATTAAATCAAATTTTCCTAATTATAAGTGTGGACCATCGCCCATAAACAACCAGGGAAATTGCAAATGCGTTGCCGGCCTTTTTAAAAGAAGTAAAGGGTAAGCTCGTTTCTTCAAGGTCTTTCAGTCATAGGTATAGGTCCAGAAAAATCACCGTTGGTAGATGATTCCACAAAGAAGTCTTGCGAGGAAGAAAACTCCTAGTAAATCGCTCAGCTTCATAGTAGACCGCCAAGCATCCAGATGGTGTGGATGATACCATGTGTTTTGTCTCGTTGTGCGTTGGTGGAATTTGGCGGCTGGAATTAATCTGATGCGGTCAAGTGGAAGGAGCTGCCACTGGAGTACCACAGTCCACAGATGAGAACAGTACTCCTTGGTAGGGCGAACTTGCATCTCGGAAAGTTGTAAACGGTGTGTCGGCATGAAATATTGTCCCACACTGCTAAGCACGTCAAACATTTTAGAGGCTAATTTAGCCCTTCTTTCCAATTGACCGCAGAACTGTACGTCTTTTGATACGTCGATGCCAAGGATTCCGATGCTGGCTAAGACAGCATGGGGAGTGCCTTGAAATGGAGAAGATACGAAAAAAGGGTTCTTTTAGTGGTAAACGCGCAAGCCTCTATCTTTTGAAATTCAAACTGGACTAAATTCGTCCCCAATCCGAAATATGTTTATTGAAGACTCGACCTCAGAAACAAGTTTGTTCCGATACTCCATGACGTACTCCCGAGAAATAATAGCACGGCCATGTTAAAAGCTACAACCAGTAACAGCAACATATAACTGATTTACAGAAGAAACCGCGTAGGTGATAGCACGCAGCCTTGTGGAACACTAGCATTAATAGGCTCCACTACGACCTTGATGCTTCTATCTGCAACATAACTGATGGTTCAATTGCACAATTTCTAGGGAAGCTCATAGGAAGGATGCCTGCAAAGAATAGCTTTGCACCAAAGTCCATCAAATGCCTGCGCTATGTCCAAAGTAACTGTTGTAGATAGATTTCATAGGGTTTTCAGGACGAATAAAACGCTTGTTATCTTTTCAGGGAGGCAGCTGAGGGCAGGGCAGAGCAGAGTTCCCTTTGTAGTTTGTTCTTCCTTTTTCTGGTAAGGACTGAATTTTGAATGAATTCCCAGAAAATGGGTGCGATATTTATACGATTGTTATTGACTTTCTAGAACCTTCTCTGCCTCACCCCTTCTAGCCATTATTCTTTATTTAATGAAAATTTTATTATCATTACAGCCCTTCACAAGTCCACTGCTGAACATAGGCCTCCCCCAAAGAATGCCACAAAGCACGGTCCTGAGCCACCTGCATCCATCGACTTCCTGCATATCTTACCAGGTCGTCACTCCATCTCGTGGGGGGACGCCCTACACTTCGCCTACCGGTAAGAGGCCGCCACTCGAGAACCTTTCTTCCCCATCGGTTGTCGGTTCTTCGAGGTATATGGCCGGCCCACTGCCACTTCAGCTTACTAATCCGTTGGGCTATGTCGGTTACTCTGGTTCTACTGCGTATATCCTCATTCCTAAGTTTATCACGCAGAGAAACTCCGAGAATAGCCCTCTCCATAGCTCGCTGAGCGACCTTGAACTTTCTCATACGGCCAGCAGTGAAGGACCACGTCTCAGTTCCATAAGTCATCACTGGCAACACGCACTGGTTGTACAATTTCGTTTTAAGGTTTTGAGGTATGTCTGATGTATGGTTGCCACCTTAGAAAATTTTATTAATTTACATATATTTTCCTTAATATCAATTTTTAATCGTACATGTTGCTACTTACATTAATACATAGGTGCGCACTCGGCGCCGCATGGTATAAAAATAACAGCGTTCTCGTATATATTACTCTACTCTATGTAAAAGCACAAATTCAAGAGCGCCCTTTAAATACCACCTCGTTCCACGATTGACGTCCATATAAGTACGCCCTAGCTAAATCGCGCGTCCCTCTCAGCGACTACTCGCCGCCTGCGCCCCCTTTTCTCTAAAGGGAGTCGCTTCAAAGTCGCTTCCGATTCGGCAGAAAGGCCATACAGGCCAAAGCCAGTCCCACAGGCGGTGTTTAGTGGGTAGGCACTTCTTAGTGAGTCCCACATAGCCACGCAGCCGGCTTCGTGGTATGCTATGAGCATTCACCACATCCCTCCCTCGCTCCCGGAGGGTAGCCTTGCTTTGCGCGCAAAAAAAATGCGTGCGACGCAGTTCTCAATGGAGTGTTGGTGCGTTCACATAGATTATTATGAATTTAGATATGACCTTACTTTATAGATTAATTATTCCTAAAACATTAATCTTTCAATAAAACACAACAAAATATAACACTTTATTTACATACGTACTTATATCCCTATAGTACGAGTTTAATTTTATAATATTACTAGTTCGCCAGGCAAACGTTGTTCTGCCCTTTCCAACGACCCTTCCCATAAAAATCCTTAAATTCGTAATAAAAAATTTTGAGGGTCATTTAGCGGGATATAAACTATCCTATCTCTCAAGTTGGACCAAAATACACATAGTGTGCAAAATTTCATTGAAATCAGTTCAGTAGTTTAGGAGTCCATCGCGGACAAACAACGTGACACGTAATTTTTATACATAAAGATATTATATCTTTATCTACGTCCTATAATATCACATTATATCTTTATCCATGATCTATCTTATCGCTTATCTATTGCATTATGATAAGACATAAAATGGTAAACAAAGAAATAAAAACTTACTTATTTTTATAAAATAACTTCTAATTATTACTATTTATTAGAAATTAAAGTACTTAGTAAACACTACGTAATTAAAACATTTACGCTAATAATCATAATGTTAAATTACCAAGAAATATAATGAAGGAATAGTCACGTGGTCCATCACCCAATAGTTGCACCGCACTGCCCGCACGACCCCCTTCGATGCTGACTTGCACAGTAATGACCAAGGTCTTCCTCCTGGACTTTTCTGCTTCCGCTCATCTATGAGTCAGGTAAATTAGAAGATTCGAGCTAGAACTAACTGATTAGTGACCATATTGGCGTTCACTAATCAGCTGGTGGTCCTCCGGGTACCTTGTATGCTGGCAGTTTATAATGGGTTCCATTATTTTGGAAAAAAAGTAGGTGATCGTGGTAAGCCTGTAGTTGGACGGGTTTGAGCGGTTGCCTTTTTAGGGATCGGGTGCACTAAAGTTGCCTTCCATAAGTTCAGGACTACGCCTATGGATTAGGAGTACCGGAAAAGACGCTTTAGAACCAGTGCTAACTCTGGAGCACCCATCTTCAGCACAATAGGAGGGATCCCATCAGGCTCACTCGACGTGTTGACGTTCACGGAGAGCAATCAAAGAGTCGAGTTGGACTCAAAAAGAGAACCCAAAACATCGACTTTCTCCTTTGCGGCATGGGCCAGTGAGTCGATCTCCCAGTGCAGAGATGGAACAGATAGCTAAGAGAAGTTCCCTTGGACAGCCTTGGCAAAACACCTTAATAAATTTAGAGATAGAGAAAACAGCTTGAGCATCTTAAATTCTTTAAATCATGTCCAGTCAGTCAACGAAAGACGAAAGGTACCAAATAATTCAGTCTTATTTTTACAGTCTTTTAATTTGTTTGGTACCAAAAATAAAGAAAGAGCAGCAAGTAAAATACTTGCAGCACTATTACTACTACTCTATTATTTATTGAGAATATTAATACCAAATTTTATTTTGTACATAAGTGGTGCTTGCAAAGGCTAGCTCAGTGCCCCCTCGAACCTTGCGCCCTAGGCTCCAGGCTAGTTAGACTGTGGGTACATCAGGCGCTGCACATCATCCTTCACGTTAATTTGGACTAAAACTAGACGCGAACATGTAACGTAATTTTTCGAACGCTAAAGCAGCTAATTTACTTAGTCCATTTATCATTTGTTTGAAGTTGGACTTTGTATGTGTCATGCAATATGTATGCGTTCATATGCCTGCATGATACCATTACCAATACCAAGTTTTTATTGCATTGCAGTTATTAATATAATTTTTGCGATATTAAAAAGGCAAAAAGTAACAAGTTGTTAGACGAATGGACTCTGTGATATTGGAATATGCCTTTTTTATTCGCTCTGTGCTGTCCACAAACTAATAAAATTAAAAGAGTTTTGGCGGGAAATTGACCGGCGGCGGTTTGCTGCTCCTGTATTATTGTTTAAATAATGGTTTGAAGTGGACTTTGATATGTAAAAGTGTTGCGATTTTGTGTATTAAGTGTCTACGCATGTGAACTATTAGTGGAAACAGTGAAACAAGTGCTCTGATGGTGATGGATTCTCAAGATAAGCTGTTTGTTTGCATAGGCACCTTTAGATACCATCGCCAACTTTCAGCTGTCTGCTGGATCAAGTTGCCGCCAAAATCTCCCAAGAACTGCACAATGTGACGCATCAACATATTGTGAAGCAGTATACTATGAAGGAGTGGGGAAATTACAATAAACCGAATAAAAATACTTAAGACTTGGCCTAAAGGTCTAGATACCAGGCCATAAACTCCAAAAAAAAAAAATTAAAAAAAATCTGTCAAAGTGTCAAATGATTTATCACTAACGTCATAAAATTATCGTAATATTTTCTTTTCGGTGAATAAACATTACAACATAATTACTGTCGGTAATTTTTCTAAAAAATAAAATATTTCTTTAATCGCTGTCTTAGTGGTAGTGCAACGAATTCTTATCGAATTAGTGGGAGCTAATTGAAATTAATAAGTTTCTTGTGTGATGTTTTAAATGTGTACAGTATAGTATGGCATCAGGGTCGAAGAATGATATTGTAAATAGATTATTAAACGTTAGGCTTGATGAAGGTGCGGGAGGTGACGAATTGCCTCCACAGAACATGCTTCCTTCAAACCAACATGCTCGCCAGTTGGGTCATGTTGCTGATGAAGACAATGGACAAAACAACGAGCCTATACCATCTTCCTCTGCTATAGAAAATCTGCAGCTGACCAACAACACCGGTGGCCGTTTACATAACTGGCAGGCTACAAAAACAACGGTCAAAGAGCGATTGTCTTTCCTTTTTAATAACGAAATATTGTCCGATGTCCATTTCATTGTGGGTAAAGATGCAAATCAACAAGTTATACCGGCCCATAAGTTTGTGTTATCTGTTGGGAGTGCGGTGTTCGATGCTATGTTCAATGGTGTATTAGCTACAAAGTCTGAAGAAGTCGAACTGCCAGATGTTGAGCCAGCAGCTTTCCTACATTTGTTAAAGTTCTTATATTCAGATGAAGTCAGGATTGGGCCTGAAAGTGTGATGACGACACTATATACCGCCAAGAAATATGCTGTGGCAGCATTAGAGGAGCATTGTGTGGATTTCCTTAAAAGCAACTTGGGAACCGACAATGCCTTTTTGTTGCTGACACAAGCACGGCTGTTTGATGAGCCACAGCTGGCTGCTTTATGTCTTGAAATGATAGATAAGAATACAGCAGATGCATTGAATGCAGAAGGCTTCACTGACATTGATCAAGATACTTTGAATGCTGTTTTAGAAAGGTGTAGTATGTTGTTTTGTTTTTTTAAAGTATTGTGTTAGTGTTACACTGGCTTTTTCCCACAAATCTATGACCAAGTGCATATTATGTATGTGGGTAGGAATTAATACTGTTCAAGTAACCCTAGCTTCTCAAAGAATCCTAGCAACTTTCTAATGACACTAAAGATGTCGGTATGGTGAGGTACTTAGATCTGTAGCAGGTGGTCCCCTGATCCAAACATTCCAGTAAGATGTGAGCCGCTATCTTGTCATACTCTATGAAGGCTCTGCACTTCTGTAAGAGCGTGCTCCTACACCAGTCAAGTCACCCATTTGTGCTACAACCATAATTAACTGTAGGGTGGCTCTACCATGTAAAATACAACATATATAAAATAACAATAAATAACAAAAATAACCCCCAGAGTTTAATGGAAGCCTGTTATTTTAATATTACAGACAGTCCACTGCTATACGTAGGCCTCCTCCATAGATTGCCTCATATAGGCGATTTTTGGGGAAGAAGATGCTGCTGCCCATCTCTTGTTTTAATTTCTCTCTGTTGCCTCTTATGACACCCACAGGATAATATGGGATAGTAGATATTCTTACATGCCACTGCACAGTTATAATATATATATATATTATTTATTTTATACTTATATGTAGTAGATTTTATTTATTTATTGCATTTACATGTGGTTCTGTGTTCATCTTTTTGATGTGAGGATAAAATAATATCAGAAAATATATATACATAAGGAAAAAAACCAATGTGATATATGCTCTGCAACATATGCAAAAGCTCAAGTGAAATTAGGCTGGCCACGTAGCACAACTGTCAGATGAAAAATGAATGCATTTGGCTCAATTTGTGTAGGTCCAAGTGGCAAGAGAGCTAGAGGCCGTCCTAAAGAGCGCTGGGTAGACGAGATCAAAAAATATGCTGGGAATGACTGGACAAACAAAGCAGACACAAAAAACCTTGAAACTGTTGGGGGAGGCCTATACCCTCAAGCAGGGCAATACAATTTTAAGACCCCCGCTTAGTTTTATCCACCCTTTGAGCATGGGCACAACGGTGGATATAATATCCACAATAAATAAAATGGGGAGATAGACTTAGAGTTAGATAGATTTTTTGTATGAATGTAGACTTAAACCCACATCCAATGAACTAGGATAAAATTGTCCCTTTCAAATGTCAAAAAAGCATAATTTTTAATCTTTCATTTGGCTCCATGCTGTGGACTGGGGATATATGTCTACATGATATGTCAAACGTGGATATACATCTCCCCATTGCCGTGCTTTGGTATAAGGGCAAGATAATTTTACACTTTTCAGTGGATATAATCAGGGGATAAATTTTTGTCCCCAGCCCATGCTAGCCGTGCAGGGGCCTTAACTATATAAAAGTGCATAATATATTACTATGCTTAACCTTAATATAATCCAGTCCAATATTTAATTTAACACTCTGTAAGTTAAGGAAAATAAAGAGGCTTTATTATTATTATTATTATTAGATTTCGATGTTCATAAGAGCATAAACAAGCCTAAACTGACCAAAAAGTGTTGACTTTTATTTTGAGTATGTAATAGCGAATGTTTTATATTAGTTATTATCAGTAGAAAGCATTTTGTTTCATAGCTTATATATATATACAAGCATTTCTCACAGCTTGCTTGTTTCTTTCTGAGAAATAAAAATTTTCTACTATTTTTCCAGAGATACCCTACGGATTAGGGAAGCAAAAATATTTTCTGCTGTTCTACGCTGGTCAGAAGCAGAATGCATACGTCGTCAGCTCCCAGTCACTCCTGGACACCAACGCATGGTTCTTGGCCGGGCCTTTAACGCAATAAGATTTCCGTTGATGTCTGTAGAAGAGTTTGCAATGGGGCCAGCTCAAAGTGGCTTGCTTGATGATCGAGAGATTGTCCAACTCTTCCTTTATTTCACAGTGAATCCTAAACCAAATGTAGGATTCCTAGATACTCCAAGGTGCTGCATGACAGGGAAAGAACTGACTGCGAACAGGTTCCCACAGACTGAATCTCGGTGGGGATATAGTGGGACTTCTGATAGAATAAGATTTACAGTGGATCAGAGGATTTTTGTTGTAGGTTTTGGACTCTATGGATCATATTTTGGACCAACTGAATATGAAGTACATTTGCAAGTAAGTAAGATGAGATCATAATTCAAACATTCTATCACTGTTTTTCTTTTAACCAATAAGGCCTTATTTATAAAAATATGGATATAACTGATGTGACCATACGTCCCGCTTTGAGTGGGACAAACCTGGTTTTATGCAGTGTCCCACAGTTCCCAAAATACGTAAAATGTCCCGCTTTAACGAAGAAAAACGTAGCACCGTGCACGTTTCGTCATTGTAGGTCCTCCTCGCATGTAGCAGTTTTACCAGCTCAGCCAAAAGTTTTGTTGGCACAGGGGTGTCACTTCCACTATGGAAGGTATGGAGCACTCCATACCTCAAGTTTTTCAAGGTATGGAATTCCATAGCTGAAATTAGGAAATAAATCGCATATTACTACAAACCCCATATAAATAAATCGCAAGCCCTTAAACCTCAATACCCCACATCTTATAGTTCAATAAATAAGTTGAGTATATACACTGCAAACTCTTAAACCTTAATACCCCACGAGTAATGCGAACAAATTTGAAAATCGCGCCACCATTTTCCATACCTCAGATTTTTACAAAGTGACACGCCTGTGTTGGCATATCTGAAAAGTTAACATTTTTAAACAAAAGTTATGAAGTGTTAATCTTTAGCAAATTGTTGAATTTGCTACTTAATATAATTTAAAATAAAAAATTTTGTTCAACCGACTTCAATATAAATTATTAAGAATAACTCAAATACTAGTGGTCAGATCTTGATCAAATTTATATGGGAGCACATATGAAGCACCTGCATTCAAATAAAATAAGAATCATCGAAATCGGTTCACCCAGTAAAAAGTTATGAGGTAACATACATAAAAAAAACATAGTTGAATTGAGTATTGTCTCCTTTTGAAATCGGTAGATGAAGATTGTTTTCTTAATTAATGTCTTTTCTTAGAGCCTGCAATCGACCAAAACCATAATTATATCATTCCCAGTTGATATCACTTTGTCTGCTTGGTATATAAAAGGACATACATGATAGAGCCATGTAGCAGCTATATAGTTGTAGCACGAATGGGTTGGCTCGACCAGGGAAAGACCACGCTCTCACAGAATAACAGCATGAAATAGCAGCTTGATGCTGGTATGTTTCTTATGGTGAGGATGTCTGAAGATCCTTTTTAATGGGAATGGGGCATTCCATTTTAGTTCTCAGATCTCAGGGGTGACAACGCACCTACATTTTCATTCTAAATGGAGGACAGATGGAGATGTCTATGGGCCACAGCCATCTATTTAGAGAGTAAAGGTAACTTGGCTAATGTTTCAATGCTTTTCTAACAGATAATCCACTTGGCAACAAAGAAGGTGTGCGGCTCGAACACGACGACGTTTTGTTGCGACGGCAGCGATGACACATTCCGGGCCATGTTTAAAGAACCCGTTGAAATATTGCCTAACACTTCTTATATAGCCAGTGCTAAACTTAAGGTAAGAGTGTACAAGCAAAGTTAAATATGGCCAGGGAGATGGGATAAATAATATTTTTTTTTATTTATTTATTTCAAACTTTATATTCACGTATCTATAATATATTAAAATCCACTACTGTATAATGTATTCTAATACACTAGTCACTAAAATTAAGGGATGTAAAAAAAATATTGGAAAAATTAATAAGAATCGAAAAATTGCTCATAATGGTAATTTTTTGTGAAAACGATAAATTTGAATCATTGGGGCACTAAGAAAATAAAATCGCAGCGCTTTGAATTTCTTAGGGATTTTCCGGGACACTTTAAGGTTGAAAAATTACTGACGATATCTTTCGTTCATCCATTCTATCCAAAGTTATACCAAGTTATCCAAATATCCTTTATGCGAATTTTTATCTTTTTATTAGTCAAAGTTATCGCTTCGAAATTTTTTTTCCGTCCAAAGCCATTCATGTGTAGCTCATGGGGGGAATATCATGCAGTTTACAAAACTTCAATTTCCTATATTCCTATATGATCATTATTTCCATAGTTATTGGTTATTATCAAAGAACTTTTTTGCTTTGATTGACGATAACTCCGCGGCAAATGTATGATGATTTGACTTTTTGATTACGTCCAAGTTAAAGGGCATTAAATTTCCTAAAAATCTTTTTAGTGAAATAATGAAAAAAAATTTTTTTGAAGCCCGTAGACCGTTTTTAAGACTAGCAAAAATTTGGAAATTTAATTTTCGGTAGTTTCCCTAGGATCACTCCAGAACCAAAGTAGGTGTGTAAAGTAAGTATTCATGTGTGTGTAAAGTAAGTATTTAAGTCTATACAAAGTAGGTGTGTAAAGTAAGTATTCATGTGTGTGTTTCCCTAGGATCACTCCAGAACTTTGGTTCTGGAGTGATCCTAGGGAAACACACACATGAATTTTCTTTATTATGTTTGCATAATAAAGAAAATTCATGTCCAAATCTGAAAACTAGAATGTGTAACTACAGTTTGCTTTTTTATTTGCTGTACGATCATCTTCCTCGGAGTTACAACTTGTTGAAAATCACACATTTTTTTTTATATCCTTAAATTTTTGTGACTAGTGTATATTAAAATTAATATAAGAAATATTGAATGTTATGTAGCTTATCAGCAGGTTTATATATCTTTCTGCTGTAGACTTCTTCTAACCATAGGTGTATTTTTGGGAATTTAAATAATAGACTATTCTTTAAGACACAAGAGCTGCTTTGTGGAGTGTTACTTGTAGAGCAGCGTGACGTGATAAGGAGATGAATGTTGAGCGAGTAATGTAACGCACATCCTTCATTCGACCAATGAGCAGGATAGGAGGGGAGGAGTGCGGGGTGTTTGTTGAGTGTAATTCAGTGTTTAGGCAGCTTTTATTTTTATAAACATACATTTATCACATAGTTTATAGACATTCAATAATTCTTTGTAGATATACAATAAGTCTTTAAATAAACAACAATTAAAACATTAATAAACTTACATCCTAGATAATCATAGGATTTACATGAATAAAACTTAAATAACTACATGATCGGATTAAATGCTGCACTTACATCAATAATGTCTTAAATCTGAGCTGTTATTTACAAATATATATTTTTATATAGAACAAGCGTGACAAACGAGCACACGGTCCACCTGATTACCATCAGTAAAAAGGGTCTCTGATTCTCTGCACTCACCATACGAAACACAGCAGCATTGAGCTGCTATTTTGCATTGGTATTCTATAAGAGCGTGTTCCTACCCCGGTCAAGCCACCCATTCTATCTGTTTCCCATTCCATCTACAGTTATAATATAGCTACAGCATAGCTCTAGCACGTATTTTTTTATAGAATTATGGTGACAAACGAGCTCACAGTCCACCCGATGGTAAGTGGTTGCTGTGGCCCATAGACATCTACATCTATCTTCATTTGCGAATTAAAATGAAGATGCGTTGTCAGCCGTGAGGACTAAGATAGAATGCCTCTTTTCCAGTAAAAAGGGTCTCCGGTTCTCTACACTCACCATACGAAACACAGCAGCATGACGCTGCTATTTTACGCTGGTATTCTGTGAGAGCGTGATCTTCCCCGGTCGAGTCGACTCATTCGTGCTATACTATTAATATAGCTGCAGCATGGCACTACCACGTAAAAAAATATATTATAATTATAATAACATTTAACTGTTCCCAGGGCACAGACTCCTACTACGGGACTAAAGGCCTGCGCCGCGTTATGGTGGACTGCAACAATGGCGAAAAGGTCGTATTCCAGTTCTCGTATGCAGCTGGCAACAACAACGGCACCTCGGTCGAGGACGGACAGATACCCGCGATCATCTTCTACATATAAAATTTGCTGAATACCTCCAACTGGCCGTATTTCGCCATCTTGCAGGTCAAACGGGGTAAACGCAACTGCCGCGACGGTCGGTATTGAACGATGTGTATAAATTTTTAATCTGTGCTGTTGGATATAAAAAAGTGAAGAAAATCTAACAAGAAATGTGAGTGCTTAATATCAAAATAAGTAAATTCATTCTTGAATTTTTCATTGTTGCACCATATTGGCAAACATCCACGAATTACTTATATTATCATACATAGTATATATTATGCAAGTATTAAATAATGAACCGTGTACACCTTGTAAATTATGTTTAAATTCATAAATCTTCCAAACATTACGAATATAAATTAACATTTCTAAATAAAACTAACAGGACGTAATATCAAAAAGTAAAAGCCGACTACAAATTCCTAAAAAAGAAGTTGTTACCCTTAGGGGTGGAATTTTTTCTCACCCTTTTTGGATCACTCTTGAAGTATAACCTATTTAATTATAAAAAAGAATAATCAAAATTGGTTCACAAACTCCGAAGATATCGCGTAACAACTCTAATTGAGTACCTTCTCTTTTGTGAAGTCGCTTAATAAAAAATACAACAATTTAATACATATCTGGCAACATTGACATTCTTTATGACGATATTGCCAGTTAAATATTGTGATTTTTTCTAACATACATACCTCACTTATACTAAACCACATTGTATTAATATTAAATAAGCTTCAAATGTTATCCAAAACAACAGTCGGTTTGTTTTTTTGTCAAGGCCAATTAAATATCGATTTTTCATTTCACAACATTGATTGCAAACAGAAAAAAGTTACTCCAATGCACCCATCATCATCATCGTCATCATTACAGCCCTTCACAAGTCCACTGCTGAACATAGGCCTGCCCCAAGAAATGCCACAAAGCACGGTCCTGAGCTGCCTGCATCCATCGACTTCCTGCATGTCTTACCAGGTCGTCTTTCCATCTAGTGGGGGGACGCTCTACACTTCGCACACATTACTTCAAAATTTAATTTTTTTGTCATACCTGCAGGTTTACTCACGTAATTTCTTTAATGAAAATGCATTTAACAATTTTATTAGAGCCAGTGGGTATTAAATTAGTTTTTTTTAAACAGATGAGTCAACCATAGTCCATGTTATGGTAAGTGGCTACTGTAGTCAATGGACAATTACCAGAGGCGTAGCGTGGACCATTATAGACGTGGGCGAAGTCGCGTCAGCGAGGCCCCTTTTCTTTCGTTCCAAAAATCTACCCAATACATCTATCCTATCAAACATGCTTTGACACGACATGTCTACTCATAGTTAATAATTTCTGACAAGTCTTGTATTCCGTCAATCTACCGGTCGCGGTCTTTGAATGTAGTTACAACGGCCTCTCAGTCGCACTTACTTACACTTATTCCTTGTGAGGCCCCAAACGAATACGCTTTTTGAATTTGTGACGTTCTTTTTCGAGCGTAAAAGTGATCAAATGAATTAGTCATCTGTGGTAAAGTCTGTGGGCATCGCGAGGCCCCTCTAAGCGCGAGGTCCTGGGCGCGGGTTCACTTCGCCCATGCCTAGCCACGCTACTGATAATTACACCCAAATTCTATGAAGTGTGGAGAGAAGGAGGACCATCTCTATATATGAAAAGTGTCCCTAAAAACGTGTCCAATAAGGGTGGCGCTGCACTAGCATAGGATAAATTAAAAAAAAAAAGCGCCAAAACTAATTAGAATAAGATGGAGAAATAAACAAGGACCGACCAATTCGCTTGGTTTTGTACTACGTTAATAGTTGAGGTTTTGTATACTGGCATTTTACTAACTACTCTAGTCATGAAATTTTTTAAATATTTTAATTCAGCTGACTTCACTCCGTTCACAGCAGCTATCTTCATATCGTAGTTTTTCAGACGCCCGCGCTATTGTGGTAGGTTTTGGAACCTCTATTTTCAGTAAATAGTAGGACACTTTTTCAACTTTCACCGCTTATAAGATGGTTCTCCTTGTACTCTACACTCCATACCAAATTCAAACTCAAAAAGCTACAGATGCGCCATCTCTGTGGACTAAGATGTTATACCACCCAGCCTGTAACTATACTGGGTCTCTATAACCTTCAGACCAGAGGACAGCAGAATACGCTTTGATGTTTGCCGGCAGCAATAAGTATGAGCGTTGTTACCTACCCTATCCTATCACCTAATTATGACTTTGCTGTTATATTATGAAAATCTAAGGGTGCGCACAGATTAAGTTACATGTTGTGTAACTTTTGTTTTATAACACATACACATTATGTTACATTGTTTTTCAACATTGCAACATATAATAATACTGTAGACATTAGAATAACAATGTTATATGACATTATCATATGACATTGTCGTTTGTCATTCTGTCGTTTGAGTTATATAACACTTTTTATAACATTCAACCTCCACATTACTGAAACACGTTATATAACATGTTATGTTATATAATATGTACGCACCGTTAGACGCGCTTTCCCACCGAGCGATTCTTTATACTTATTGAGGGTAGACGCGTATTGCCGTATTCTGGCTGATAAGGATCGAGAAGCTCTACCCAGCTGTAAAACTTATGTATATACAATGACTTGATATTATAAGTTTTTAAACGAAATCCGTGCTCTATAGTCTGTGAGTATTGTTACTACATACCGTTACAGCCTATTAAAGTCCGTTGCTGAACATGGACCTCCCTCATAGATTGCCTTAAAGGGGATATTTGCCATGTTTGCCACGCTTGGCAAGTGGGTTAGCAAACGTATTTTTTTTTTATTTTAAGTCGTTACTAGGAAGACGCTGGTGCCCATTTCTTGGTTTGTTTCACTCTGTCGACTTTTACGACACCCACAGTACGACATGGGGTAGTGGATATTCTTACACCACCATTACATGCAACTCTTTGCTTTCAATTTAACAAACGGGATTGTGTACTTTTTAAGGCTTATAAGTTTGAAGTATGTGTGCCACGGTTCAATTAATATAGTATGTTCTCAATCTTCAACACTGTTTCTGCTTGCTATTGTAAATAGCTTCATGTTATGTTTACGTTTGTGCACTTTTTGCCTTTCATTATTTCACATTTCGAATAACTAATCTAATATACCTGTAACATACTAAACCACATAGAATAAGGGTGACAAACGATCACACAGTCCACCTGATGGCAAGTGAATGTGGCCCATAGACGAGATCTACATCTATCCTTGGTTAAGATTCAAATTGCAAATGCGTTGTCATCCCTGAGGATTTATATGTAATGCCTTGTTTCCAGTAAAAAGGATCTCTGGTTCTCTACACTCACCATACGCATACTAAACACTTTAAGCTGCTATTTCACACTAGTATTATGTGAGAGCGGGGTCCTTCCCCGGATTCATTTGTGCTACAACCATAATTTAGGTGCAACATTGCTCTAATGGAACGTTTAGATACTTGCCGAGCACAGATGAATAGGCACGGGTACGAACATGTAAACGCCTTGTTCGGGTGTGTTCGCTACTCGGCCGGAGTACTCGCCTGTTCTCCACTCGACGTCGGTTTTTTTAGCAAGAATCAAAGGATTGTTTGTGTATATTCGTATATGTGTTTACATACTCGTCATTATTCAGATGGACCGTTAACTATCATTATCATTTACTTGGCCAATCTACTGTTAGAATTTTCTCTAATACCTTTCTATGACAAAATATATAAAAAAAATATAAATATATACTCAGTTCATCCAAAATGAAAATTATAAGATCAAAACTACTTTTATATAGTCAACTTAATACGAACTATTTCTGATACTGTCTTTTAGGTCTTGCTTCATTTTTTATTTAAAATATTAGCGAGTCTAAATGTTAAGTAAACACAATGTCGTAGCAACGAGACGTACGTCATCCACGTTTAAAAAATCTACTTTGAATGAATACAGACGAATATGTTAACGCGTCGCACTCGTCCACGAATAACTCTGCGAGTTATTCGGCGAGTTGTTCGTGATCGATATCGTGACCGATAATCTAAACGTTCCATAACACGTAAAATGTTTTCCTTACGATTAGAAACTGACGATCCGCCATCCGCTGGCTTAGCACAGGTGATTTCTGGGTCTCGACAACAGCGCCACCTACCGGGTCTAATTGTGAATCTAAATCATCCAGGGGCCCACTCAAATATACAAAAAAATGTCATCAAATGTCGTCAGTCCAGCCATTCTTAAGTGATGATCTTTCATACATGCGGCAATTGATTTTTATTTATATAGATTGAACCCTTTTCACACGCTTAATATTAGTTTGACCTGTATGTATGTATGTATGTATGTATTAATGTAATTGAGTTTTGTAATTCACTTTTAACTTACTCTCAGACGTCTCAATAATGTCAAATTTTGCAGATGTATCAAGAACCGATGGCAATACAATAATTCATGATTATGACCTAATATTCTCACTAGATTATCACAGCACTTTCATTATTTCTAAATATAAGAGTGCGCGAATGTGGATGTAGTAATTTGCTTCTATAGATTATCTGTGATAGATATGTGTAAGGTGAAGTGAGATTGTACGTCAATGTTCTAAATAGCGAGTTTCGGTTCCTCAATCTTTTATAATATAATCTCGCGTATCTATGTCTATGTGTCTTTATTTTAAGATAATTGAAAAAAAAAACGAGGATATAAATTGTTTTTTTTTTAAGTAGGATCTAGTGTTGGTTGTTACTTTATTTAAATATTTAAATGTCATCTCATTTTCGTTGTATGTGTCACATTTGTCAAAATAATGGCCAAATACTCAACGCTACTCAATTTTAAGATGTCAAGTCTCGTGTTGTCACAGTCACTTTGACTTAAAATGATAGAGACAGCACGAGACATGACGGCATCTTAAAATTGAGCAGCGTTTGAGTACTTGAGCATTAGGGCTGTCATCCGTTCCGGTTATCTTAGATTTTTCATAGTTAATGGAGTAGAAAATATAAAA